AGCAACGTCCTCCACAACTAGACTGAAGAACAAAACGACAGCAACTTGTCTGTTCCCCTTTCCCCAATTCCCCAGCACTGTTCCCATCCCCCCAATTTCCCAATAAAAATCTTTAAAAAAAAAAAGCCATTTCAAGGAAAATGCTAAGATTTATTGGTAAGCTCTGGAGGATGAACAAGAAAAAAAAATTAAGGGGTTAAGAAAGAAGTGAGAGAAGAAACAGGTGGGAATGGTGTTTCTAAGGCCCAGGGAGACCATTTCATGGGGGTTTCAGAGTAGAGTAACTACAACTCTATGCTAAAAGGTGGCCATGTGGAATAAGAACTGAAAATCACCCAGGATTTGGGCAACCAGGATTATTAATAAACTCAGGAAGAGTCAGTTATGTGGAATGGTTGGAGGTAGAGCAGGTTTCCATGGATTTGAGATAGAACCAAAGAGAATGCTGCTATACATACCAAGAGTCACAACAGTGAGAAGATAAAAAGTAAGGGCATGTGTGTGTTTGAGAGGCAGTGCAGAGCTTTACATGGAATAAGTATACAATGAGTACTGATTCAATCGTTATTATGTGCTATATACATGATGGGATATTACTGAATAGTAACAGAGGTTTCCTTATGATAATAGGTATTTTTAGATAGATTGAGATATACAGAAATGTTGGCAATGCATAGTGTGGCTAGAGAAACCCTAATGGCCAGTGTCTTCCTTAACCGTGTTGCTCCATGCTCGGGCAAATCCATGGGACGCTGTCCCACAGAAGGAGCACTGCTGAGTAAGAGACACTAAAAATACTTCTGAGATGAATGATGGCCACTTTGATTGGACAGGTCAGTGTCAAGGATAAGGAGAAAGACTGCTTTATGCAAAAAGAACAGAAGGAAGAAATCCATGCCATCCAAAATTAAAGACCAGGTAGTCACAGTTCCAATAAAGTGTTGTTACAAAAGAAATTAACAAGCAATCATGGACCTCTGTTATATATCCCATAGAACTTATAGTGGACCATGGCATAAATTTCTGCCTGAACTGGTTTTATGCCTGTCACTTTCTCTCTATATATCATGATAATGATAATAATAACATATAATGTATATGTGACACTTAAATGCCAGGTATTACCCTAACTCGTGTAATCTCACAACAGCCCTACAAGGTAGCAATCATGATCATCATTTTATAGATGAGAAATGGAGGTTATATAAATTGCCTCAAGACATATAGGTAGAAGTGTCACAGCCAGGGTTGGGATCAAAACCTCACTTTAGTCTATAGTATTAAGTAGTGTAACATATTGCCATTTATATTTCTAAATATTAAAGTACATTTACATAAATGTTCATAAAAAGCATGGGAACGTGGCTCTCCTTATCAACTGGTTCACTGTGTTGTATACTTTAGTATTAAAATTACTAAAGATTCAAACATATTAATTAATGGTGTGTCTCTTGTATTTTTTCTTACAGAGAACAGCTAAGACATAAACAAAATTCAAGACTATAACAGTCCAGGCTCATATAATTCCTTCTATGAAACAATGCTCACAAAATAGAGGAATTAAAATCATAATACCTTTAGCAGCTGTTGTAAAAAATATCACAATTTGAGGCCAAGTGCAAAGCTAAAGCGGAGGTGATGTTTCCAGAGAGGTTTAATGTGAAGTACAGTGGATCCTCATTATTCGCAGATTCCATATTTGAGAATTTGCCTACTCACTAAAATTTATTTGTAGTCCCCAAATCAATACTCACAAAGCTTTCCAGGTCATTTGAGAACACAGGCAGAATGGCAAAAAAAATAAGTTGCCCGAGGCTCACATACTCAGCTAAGGTCAAAGAAGGTCAAGCTCTGCCTTCTTGTTTCAGTTCTTATGCTGTAAATAAGTGTCCTTTTCACAATATATTTAAGGCCATGCTTTTTGCATTTTTTTACTTTTTACTGGTGATTTTGATATTTAAGATGGCCCCTAAGTATAGTGCATAAGTGCTATATAGTGTTACTAAGTGCAAAACAGCTGGGATGTGCCTTACAGAGAAAATGTGTGCTACATACTCTTTGTTCACGCATGAGTTATAGGGCTGTTGGCTGTGGGTTCAGTGTTAACAAATCAACTATATATTATACAATGTGTCTTTAAACACAAACACACATAAAGCAAGGTTATGTATTGATTTGTTGATGACAATGCTGTGACTAGAGGCAGGATCTTAGTCTTGTGTTTCCTTTAGGAGCTGTGATTCAGTATTCACTAATTCAGTGTTCACGGTGACGTTATAGACCATAACTACCATGAATAACAAAAACTGACTGTATCTAGGGCTTCTCTTAAGGAATGCTAAGCAGAGTTTCTGTGTGGATTGTAAATTATATGTAGCTTTTCTAGCTACGTGTTGCACATATGAGCAGGCCATTGGTGGGGACATCTCTGCCTCTCCCTCCTGGTACCACCCTTCTCTAAGCAGTAGGTCTGATCTTCACAAGTAAAGATTAAGAAGTGAATAGCAAGGAAAGCAAAAAATCTACTCATTGGAATGTGTAAAGGAGACTCAGATGTTACAGGTTTCTACAATATCAACCATTTCAACCAAATCACCAAAGCAGATGGGCAAGGAGACCCATGTAAGGTAGACACTGCATGTCAGAGAAAATGACAAGAGAATGAGAAAAGACATATATATGGTACTTCCTAGGTGCCAGGCTGGCTTTATATATATAGTTGTGAGAATTAAATGAATTAATATACATAATATAGCACTTAACAAAAAAAAAGACAATAATCTGCATCGGTATTTCTGGTAATTAATACCAGCAAAGAGACAATCTAAACTAGAAGTAATGTTGAGATAAAGTCAAAACAGTGTGATGCCACTCTGGGGAAAACTATGATATAGGGAAAAATCTGTGAACTAAACATCAGTGCTCAAATGCTGGGTCTGCCACTTTTTAGATATGAGACATTAACACCTCAAACCTCATTCAGTTTTCTGTTTGTAAGATGAAGAAATCAGGAATGATTACTGAAGGTGGCTGCCATTGATGGACTGCATCTGATAAACATCTGGCACAACAGTTAAAAAAGGCCTTTTCCCTTGGCTCCCAAAGAAAAGACATGTTTTTGTAAAATTGCAAGTGTTTTGTAGTTGGTTAGAGAATGGGTAGATATACATAGATATTAGATAAATGATAGTGGTTATGTACCTACCTTTTATAAGTTGTACCCACATTTTGGTTTTGTTCCCAATAATAGTGCCGAATTGCATTACGACAATTAAATTGAAGGCATACAGTTATATTCTCTTAGTATGAATCCATGTTCAGTTCATGTTAATTGTACTGGAGCTGGAATCAGCATGCATTACCTCTATTATATCAAGTTTTGCAAGGCTGAAATAGGAGAATGATGTTGTCTCCCATTCCCTTCCCTGGATGAAGCTCAGGCAGACACTCTTAACATTTTAGCTCTGGGTTTCTCGGTTTTGTTATGTTACCTCTGTTGCCTCATTCTTTCTTTGCATGGTTTCTTACTTTCAGCAAACTCTTATTTGGGTCTCAGAGCCATCATGGGAACAAAGGTATTGTATAGCTTCTGTGATTTTGTAATTAAACTTAGGGTTATCTTACTGCTTTTTTTTTCAAGTTTGTAGGTGATGCTGACTTGTCCCATCAATATTTGTGAGTGACAAAAATCATTTTAAACTGTTCAGTTGTAACAAAACCTTTCACTATCTCCATAGAACTTAGTTTAGCCTCAACAATCTTTTATCCACAGTTGTACTGTGTACTTTCACGTGCCCTTAAACCAAGAGTCCAAGAATATAAAGATAATTGCAAGCCTAACTGTATATTGCTTTTAAGTCCAGTTGTATATTGATTTTTTAAAATCTTTTTTTCTAACAGAATTGTTTTAAAAAGGATGAGTAGAATAAAGCAGGCAGGTGAAGCAGCTTGCATGCAGCAGCAGAAGGCTGTAAGAATTGTTCACCTCCACAGACCACACCGTCCAGGTCTTCACAGCGGCGGTCATCACACGCGCACGTTTTGCCATAAACCCTGCGATCTCCCGGCGGGTAGCAAGTGCATTTGCCACATTCACATTTACCTGCAAAACACAAAGGGAGAGATCATTCATTAGGAGATTCACAGAATCAGGAAGGCTTTCAAAGGAAACAAGCATACTGTTAAACTCAGGCTTCCTGGACCAATTCTATGATGTGCCTGATTATACAGTTCAGCAAATAACTTTTCTTACCCTCCTAAGGTAAGCTGAAGGTTAAGCACAAATGCCAAGGAGGTCAGGAGTGGAAGTGAAAATTGCTGGCTCAGAAGTCATTTATATTTACTACTTTCCACCTTTTGTTTCATTTATCTTTGAAGAACAATTCAGTTATTAAATTCTTTTGGTATTTCATATTCAACTTGGTTTGATGATACCATTTACTGTAACTAAATAAGTTGTATGTATTTTGATATAATTTAACAAACTATGATCATTTAAAAAATATTTATTTTGGGTCTATCTGCCACATAAGAAAAAAATGTTCATAGGTATATTTTAGTGATTAGTTTACATCAATTTTATAGTTCACATAACTCGTTTTAACATGGAACATGTGCCAAAGGGCATGGCCTAAATATGTTTATTATTCTTGACTTAAAATTTAAAAGTATAAACATTTTTTGGAATGAGTTTTGTTCGTAGTTTGGGAATTCCTTAACTATTCTCATTAGGACTTTCATCATTATTTCTTGAGATGTAACTGTGTCAAGCACTATAATTCCGTGAATTCCATCATTTTGTTTTCAAAATAACACATTGACTAGCATTATCACTATCATTTTACTAAACAGGAAATAGAGACATAATGAGGCCAAGTTCCTTTCTATGGTAACTCAGGTCATAAGGGATAGATTCAAAATTTACATCCATTCTCATTCAACTTAAAGTTTGTATACCTAACCATTAAGCCATATTGAATCGTAACATACTCATAACGCAGCTCCAGGAGACTATGAGAAAGTAAATTTCTTTTGTTTGAGGAATTGGTACTGGTTTGCCAGAAATTCAGCTGGGTGACTACTCTGAGACATCTGTTACTCTCTGTCATTAGCCCAAGCATCATAATTACACACCCACTGAAATGATCACACGGTACTTGAGGGATGACCCCCCAATGTTGTTAGTCATTCTGTTGCTGCATTTGTATCTTGTTAAAGAATTTCCAAGTCGGTAGATGATGGAAGAAAGGAAAATTAGTATTTAGAATCACATCATTTCAGAGCTGTAATTAAAGATAATCTAATGCAGTGATTCATAATCTTTTCTGGCAGAAGTGCTGGGGTCATGATCCCTTTGAGAAGTTGGTGAAAGCTATGGCCATAGATACTGTTGTTCTGGCTGCCTTTCCACTGGTCTCTCTTTCTCCTTGGAGGCAGTCCCATGTTCAGCAGAAGGCAGAGCCCCCTTCCTCCCATGATGATATGCCCTCTCGCTATGTGCTAGCAGACAAAACAGGGACACATCAGACACTTTTGGCAGGGCTTTGATTTTTGAGGGTGAGAACAAAGGCACAGAGTGGCAAGAGCAACGGCACAGCAGTGAGTGTCCAGGAGAGGTGGAGCTCAGCACACAGAGGCTTGCGTTCAAAAGTGATGGCAGCAGGGGCCGGTTCTCGGTAGTGTCTTGCTTCCCTGAGGTGCTGCATGAGCTGACTGTCCAAGCTTACATTTCTGATCCTTAACCCTTCTAATAAAATCCTTTTTCATCCCCATTAGTGAAGTAGTTTTCTGTTGTTTGCAATCAACAACTCTAACTGGTAGAACCCAGATCTCTCCCTGGAAAAATATACCAGCACACATTTATTTTTTGTAAATTGTCAGGAAGATCCATGACTTACTGCGATTTATTTAATAGATGAGGAGACTCAAGCATGCTGAGGTGAAATGATTTGCCTAAGGCCAGTGAAAAAGAGACATTAGCAGTGCTGGGGATAGAACCTAGATTTTCTGAGCCCCATTTACCTTCTGGTGTGCATAAACATGCTAGCCCTCATCTTGGGTGAATGCGTGAATGACAACAATAATCCAGACTGTGGAGAGAAAGAGACAAACTATAGGACCATCAGCAGTACAGCTAGGTATGGTTAACTAGTCCTTCATGGATGGATGTCAGAAACATCAATCACCTTATTCCTGGCTAGGTATGGTTAACTAGTCCTTCATGGATAGATGTCAGAAACAGCAATCACCTTATTCCTGAGAGGTATTATAGTCCCAGTTACCAACACAACATCAATTTTTAAGTTTAAGGGTATATGCATTTATGGTGACAATTTTATTAAAATTTTAAAGCATGCAGGAGATTTCCTCAATATGCATTATTGGTTTCTGTGCTTCTCCCAAAAGGATGAACTACATACTGGCAAATGTGTTCGGGTATCTCATTTCATTGTTTTCATTATGAGTAGTTTCTGTCTTGTATTTCTGCTATAAAGTTGGATAGTGTTAATATTCAGTCCTAGGTATATTTTTTTCCTGATAGATAATTCATGTACCTTTTTCAAATGTCAGAGAATAATTAACTCCCTCCCACTTTCTTCCAGGTATTTATTTTCTTCTTAGGTTCCTCTTTTGCACAGTCTTAACCATTACAAATCTCTGAGTTTTCAGACTTTGCTTTCTCCTTTCCTCATTCTCTTGAAATGTCTCTTTTTAATGTCTCATTTCCATAATTCAGAGCTTTCAGTTCAGCAGTGACTAGTTACTATATGTTTGATGGGGAGATAGAAAGGTAAATATAAGGGATGCTACACCCTAATCTCATGGGTTAATAGTCAGGAGAGAGCCCTTTGATTAATTGGATAAACTCATACCTCATTTAGTGTTGATTGAATCTTCCAGTAACATAGCTGAGCATCTGTAAAGGAGTAAAAATCTGGAATTTTCAGAAGCCACACAGTAGATGTGTGGACCTGAACAATGACTATTAAAGACTGAAATTATCTACAAAAAGTCATAACTGAAAACATACCACACACACATACACTCGCCACTCATTACATTTGAGATGTTTAGGTGGGAAATAATTTTAATCTCCTTCAAGCTACACCACAGGAGAATACACATGTGGTCTTGCTCAAGAACAGAGTCAACCAGGCTCATCAACCTTCAACTGACACATTGATTTGAAAATTCCCTCAGTCATTCATTCAACAAACACTTTTTTGAATATCAACTATAGGCTAAGTATTGTGCTAGATGCTGAAGATACAAAGCTAAGTAGGACATTTAAAAATGTTTAATAGTCGAGGGAATAAAATACATGAGTACATATACCCTGTAGGATTAAAGAAGTTGGGAATGTCTTATAGCAATTGTTAAATGTCAGTCAGGCAAAGACAAAGAAAAATAAATTTTGTGGCACAAATACTGTTTTAAGCATGGGCTCTGACTTTAAATAAATCTGGATGTTAATCTTGGCAAAATCCACTGTTAAATGTGATTTCTTAGACGAGTCAATTCAACCTCATTTATCATGGTTGCATGATGGGAATAATAATAATAACACAGGATTATTGTCAAGGCTAAATATTGTAATGCACATAAAGTACATAAGACAGGGCATGATACAGTAAGTGCTCAATAAATAATAGATATTATTTATATTTGTATAATAAAACCTGTTGGGAAGCTTGGATTTCAATCACTTGCATAGAATTCATTCCTCTCCTTTCTCATTCCATTTCTCTAAAAAACAAACAACAACAACAAAAAAAACCCCTTGTATTTTCTGATCCCAAATGAGATTGTTTAAGAAGAACAAGATGATTGTTTATATGATCAAATGCACCTACCAGCATGAGAAAAGCAGGCATACTGTTTATGACCTGATTTTCTTTCACTTTTTAAAACAGAAAAAAACACACTTGGAATACATGCTCCATAGTTGGAAAGTAATTAGAGCCTCACATAAAACAGAAAAGAGATTAGCACTTTACTAACACAGTCTTTCTTCGCCTAAAATAATAAGTTTACCATAGCAACCTGATTGCACTAGGAAAAGCTCCTGCCAAATGCATCCTAAGTTCCCGTGAAATTTCTATGGAAAGGAATTAAACATTTGAGAACTATAATATTCTATACCACTTCATCTAAGTACAAATATTTTTTGTGAGGGTAAAGTAATCTTCCATCAGACATTTAACGGTGAAGAAGCACCTTTCACCTTCAAAATGCCCGTTTCAAAATGGGCAGTGAGACTTATAATTTAAGCCACGTTGACATTACAATTGCTAGCCAAGGAAGGATTGCTCATGGCTTTTAAAAACACATATAAATGTCAATCCTTCTATTTGTGCTTTCTTACTGCAAAAGGATTCAAGTAATCAATAGTGAAATATGTGAGGAAATAAGACATTTCAGCAAATGTAGTACTAATATTATTTTCTGTTGTCTGCGCCAGAGTGTCTAAAGTTAAAAATGGGAAATGAGAGCCCTGAGCCTTTCTTTTCGCTAAAGGTTTTCCAAGGTATCCAGCAAAATATTACAGAGGAAGTCTATTAGACCTCTAAATGACATTATCTAATTATTTCAATCTTAAGATAGTTTCTAAAATAAAAACTAAAATTACTTGATTCATTTTTTTCTAACTATAAATTAAGTAAATATAGGTAACAATATCACACTATAATAGGTGGCAAAACAATTAGGTAGCAATATCACACTCATAATTGGGTTTCCAGAAAAATAAAATAAAATAAAATAAAATGAGGCAGAGTAATATTTTAAGAGATAATAGACAAGACACTTCTAATAGAATTTAATTTATCTAGAATTTAAACTACAGATTCAAGAAACGTCATGAAGCTTAAGGAGAATAAATAAAAAAAAAACACACACAGCATATCTAAGACACAGCCAAGTCAATTGCTGAAAGGCAAAGAAAAAATCTTAAAAGTAGTCAGAGATAAAGAGATGCATTAACTTCAAGGAAAAAAAAAACCCAAGAAGATTAATGATTGAATTAACAAAATAAGTGCTTAAGCCTTATGACAATGAAATGACATCTTTAAAATTCTGAAAGAAACTGTCAAATTAGAGTTT